TCCAATGTGGTCTAGATGCGAAAAAAGCACTGAAATCTCCCTTTTTTTTATTTTCACAAATAGAATTAAGGTTTCACAAATCTCAAACTGTGTTATAAAGAATGTTTAGCCTCTCTGGGATAATCCAGTCCAGATTTGATGAGTCTAGGTATAGTGGTTTTAGATCAGGACCTGGTCTTACGTGGTCAAGATGCGAAAAAAAAGCACTGAAATCTCCCTTTTTTGTATTTTCACAAATAGAATAAAGGTTTCACAAATCTAAAACTGTGTTATAAAGAATGTTTAGACTCTCTGGGATCATCTAGTCCAAATACATCGGCTATGCAGCGATTTAAGAGGTACACACGGAGGATTGTTCGCTCAGCGCTGTAAATTAAATGTCCCTTAACTTTCCCCTTAACTGCCGAATCGGAAGCTCTGAATCGGAAGCCAACTTCAGCGTCGTCCAAGTAGCACTATCTCCTAAAGTAGCTAAACTAGCAAGAAAGTCGCCACGTTTTCAACAAGGACAGCCATTCCTAATAACCAAAGCTTCTTTTCCAAAAGTATCTTAATGCGTAATAAACATTTGTTTTGTTTTGTTCATACTCACAGCTGTCAAGCTAGCGACTCGTGGAAGACTCTGGTGACGCGCATTCAGTGCACGCCACGGGCACTTTTTTTTCAGAGCATTTGATTCAGTACTCTGCTGATTGCTGTTGTGTGAACGACTTTGTTTAACTAGAAAAAAAAATCCAAACCTCATTTCCAACCTTAACTGATATCCACTTGTTGACTTCCAACTCTTTTTAGCTTGCACCATTTAAATAATACACTCATTCATCATTAGTGTGCTTTGGAGGTGGTATAGGTGTTAGTAGGCTACTATCTTGTAGGCCTATGTAAGTAAAAGTAGAAGTACCGGATGTAGGAATACTCTGTTGCAAGTAAAGGTCCTGCAAGTAAAAGTATAAGCATCCAAACATACTTAAAGTATCCAAGTACTCATGCAGATTATCTATTTCAGAATAATATATATTATATGTTTTGATTATGATTGTTGATGCATTTAAGTGTCATCACAGATAGTAAAGGTGGAGCTAATAGTAATTCCTTTGTATACTGCAGGGTATTGTGAATGTTACTCCAGGTGTAACTTAAGTCTTATTTAAGGGTTGATCATATTTAACATCATTAACCAAAATCTGCACAATAACTAAAGGTGTTAAATTAATGTAGTGGAGTAAAAGTAAATGTTTACATCTGAATTGTAGTCGGTTAGAAGTACAAATTACTTCAACATTGTACTTCTAAATCTAGTTAGTTACTTTATACCACTGGTTTGCTTGCACAAGACCAGCACCAGGAAACACTCTAACTGGGCTGTTTATGGCAGCAATTGTTACTCCCAACATGAGGTGACCATGTCAAAGACTATTGCACTAGCGATAATTTGGTCTGCTGAGATGAAACTAGTAAAAACTTGAAATGCTGCCTTCTCGGATGGTGCCAGAAAATAATGATGAAAAAATAAACCTGCAGCTGTGCCTTGCAGTTATAAATGCGAGATGTGAAGTAAGTGGTGCCAGTCAGTGGGATAATATTTTTGAGGAGATGTATGTGTGTTTTGACAGAATAAATTATTCATTTGGTATACACCAAAGCTTCTAGTACCGTATAAAAAACAACAACCATAATTTGAAACAAGCTTCTTGGTCACAATGGTAAAAAAAGGTGTTCTTGTCTCCCTTTGAAGACGCTTTAACACTAAATGAGAAATTGGGAATGATTAATAAGACCCTCCTCACATTTATTCCCCAAGTATGCCATATGATACAAATCCTCTTTGTAGTGCATAGAAACTATTATATTTGACAGTAATATTACACTGAAAATTTGTTAGAAGTATTACTTTTGTTAGAAGAAGAAAACCACCAAAATATGTTAACAATAAAATACTTTTAAACTGTTGCCTGTAAAGGACTGTTACGCCTTCAACTTTACTGAGTGTCAAGATTTAAACACGTAAGCATGGGCTTGAGAATAAAATGACCCTTCTCAACTGCAGAGGTTAGTGTATCTTGCCAAGTGAAATGGTGGAGAATAAAGCTTGCTGCATACTCCATTTAGCTGAAGAAAAACAAACAGGTTGGTCATGTGGCTCGTTCCTCCACACAAACAAAATGCATCACGCTCTACTAAACGCAAGAACCCATTAAAAAGACAAAAGAAGCAAACAGATGCTGTGTTAATAGCCTTTATACGTGATCAGGGTGACCTGTGCATAAAAACAACAAGAATGATGACATTATGTGCAGGGTGCTTTCAGAATATGAATGATATAATCAGGAATTATGCTTTGATTGGACACCTCAGGCTTACTAGGTCTAGTCATTTTCTAAATCCCTTCCCTGAACAGATGTGATACAGTGACCTGATAAATAAACAGGATATGTCATGTGCCATGTCAACATGGTCAAGACGTGTCTAAACACTTTTTGTTTGAATACATCTATCAGATCATATTAATTCACCACTAAACATATTTTACAAGCACTGTGGATGCTTTTTCCTGTTAAATGACAATTTGTGTGACTTGCGTCCACTACAGTAAGTCTTGGCATTGTGACTTCCTGTGATTTAAAAATGACTTCCAAATGACTTTGCTAGTTGCTTTCTAATTAGACAAAAGCAAATAAAAAAAAGTGACAATGTAGGTAAAAAAAAAAACCGCTGGATGATTTGGACTCTATTTTTCTCTTTCAGAAAAATATTTGACAAGTAAAAGATAATATCCAGAAATGTTCTGAAATCACAACAAATCACACGAAGCAGGAAAATCAAAAGATGCAAAATATTTGATATGCTGAAATATTAAACATAACATGACCATGACTAATATTCATTTAAAATATGAAGCGGGCTTATAAGAACTATCTGTGTGTTTAGAACAGGCAGCAGCGGAGCAGAGAAAAACTTTGGTTGTGAATGCAGCGCTGGAAACGTCTCTTGTGTGGATGACAGAGATAGAGTGGAAAATATCACTGCCTTAATGATGTGTGTGTGTGTGTGTGTGTGTGTGTGTGTGTGTGTGTGTGTGTGTGTGTGTGAATGAATGTTGCAATATGAACAGAGTAATTCATTTTTATGAAGTTGTAATGACTGTATGTCTGCATGAAATGGAATTCAATTATTAGTCTCAGAACTGTAGAACATTTTACAAAATCCTAGGCAATTGTAAAATATAAAATGTAACCTCTGAGAATGAAGCATTAAAGTATTTTATCTCCCCGTAATGCTCATCCACAGAAGCACAATTGCCAATGGGATTATTCCGGGAAGATGGATACTGAATACATATTTATGACACCATGTCCCTTTTCTAGTATCACACATAGTCTTCAAAAATAAACTGTCACTACATACAGCCAATGTCCCGGTTGCTATAGTAACTAGTGTCACAGTGACACACTAAGGCACTTCATAACTCGCGGGGTTTTGGCCTCAATGAGAATGAGTGAAAAAGTAATGGACACAAAAGCTGAGGCATGTATTATTATCAAGGAACTGAAAGCTTTCCTACAACTTTAATTTCAGTCCGTTTTGGAACTGTGCTGAGACTAAAGAAATTCGAACAGAGTGTGACGACGACTTGTGAATAAAACAAGACTGTGATTCAGATAGTCTTAAAAGCTAAAATAGCAGCAGCATTTTGTTTGTTACAACTTTGTGGCTGAGATGCGGCAGTGATTCTTCAAAGTGCAGTAATCTGGGAAGGAGGACATTATGTGTTTCCCTGTGTGAGGCATACAAACACTGTGATTCCCGCTGGCTTCACACAGTTCTGTCAAGTCTGTTTTAGAAAAAGAATACACAAACAATTATTCAACTCTATGAATATTTAATTTCAAATCATAAAAACAGGTAATTAGTATTTCAGCAGGTATTTTTTAATATGTATTCATAAAAGCAGCTGCAGAATGGCAGGCTTGCCAGCTGTGGTTGCAATTACTTTTGAACCCATCCACACTGACTAACCAAAAAACAAACAGTAATGCTGTTTACAGATAAATAACACAATTCTAAACAGCTGAAAATGTTAGAGACTTAATCGCATAATCATATTAAACGTTAAAACTATATAAACTTTTTTAAAGATTTTTAAAAAGGTAGAAGTAGATACCAAAAATGTTAAACTATTCTTAAAAAGAGTGCCTGTCTGAAAGTGAAATGAAAAATATTACTAACATAAATGAATAAAGCTCATGTTATTAAGACTAATGTAAATTATATAGTAAACGACTTGTTTGTTAATTGTCTCTTTTCTTTGCTTAGATGTATTTTAGTCTGCTGTTTCCTTATTATATTCTGTCTGGAAAATTGTAAAACCTTCTTCATGGTCTCCCTTGAAGGCTGAGGCTTCAATCCTCAAAGGAACCAGCCTGCATGGCTAAATAAATAAAACAGTTAATAATAAAATTGTCTTCTCATCAAAAAGGCACAGATCACATCAGAACACACTGGTAACATCATAACAAATATTTAAACACTTTGGTTCATGATTTGTTCAAATATTGATATTGATATATATTGAATGCTTCATTCTCAGAGGTTACATTTTATATTTTACAATTGCCTAGGATTTTGTTAAATTTTCTACAGTTCTGAGACTAATATTTGAATTCCATTTCACACACACACACACACACACACACACACACACACACACACACACACACACACACACACACACACACACACACACACACCACACACACACACACACACACACACACACACACACACACCACACACACACACACACACACACACACACACACACACACACACATCACACACACACACACACACACACACACACACACACACACACACACACACACACACACACACACACACACACACACACACACACACACACACACACACACACACACACACACACACACACACACACACACACACACACACACACACACACACACACACACACACACACACACACACACACACACACACACACACACACACACACACACACACACACACACACACTCCAAGTGGTGACCATTGTTAAGATGCAGCCCCTCTAATGGCTGCCAGGCACAAGAAGAGGCTTACACTGTACTGATGTCAACAAGTCCAACTACCCAGGGAATTGGAAGTTAGTATTATCGGTTGCCGCGTATTTGCTAATTTGTAGCTCTTTGCTGTTGTGCAAATTTGATTCAATGTTCGGTTTACATATGCAATTTCACGAAGGATTGTGCGCAACACCTGCACAAATAAGAATAAGAAAAAAAGAAACAGTTATTCTGAAAGCATCGGCAAAGGAAAATACACCCTAACTGCAGTGAGGGCAACCAGAATCTTCTCGTTTCTGTGCTATTTGCATATATTTAAATTGGTCCGCATTTATGCAAATTAACCTCACTGCAAAAACAAAAAGACTGTCTTGCTTGTTTTTAGGAATATTTCTTCTCTTTGTGCGTTAGGATGTGCAGCATTTAAATTGTTCTCTAATGTTTTTGCATACTTTGTTCTTGCTGCACAAGCAACACTAATACTTTGCCTCACGGATAAATGCAATCAGGTGCAATATCTTTTCTAAATCTGCCTTTGAGATGGGCAGATAGTGGCTGAGGTGCAAATAATGCCGCTGTTGGCCTCAGTTCATTCTGACGGTGTTTCTACAGTTCATCTCGTGGCTGTGTGTCCTGCAGCCAGTGTTTGTAGACGACCACAGGATCTATGTTCCAGTGTTTGTGGAAGGAGATGGCCTGCTGCGTCGCCTCGGAGTAGTCATACGGTTGGGCCTAAAATATCAAGAACAAGCTTTGGTGTTTGATACGATTCATATTTCATTTAATATATTGATGTGTGGATCCTCTGATACTTTAAACCATTGCCTGATAGACAAAGTGATCCTAAATTGCATCACAAATTGACCTTATGCAAGGATGGAATTTATTTTAGGCAAGTCAATTTGAAAATACAAGAACTTTAAAGGTACTTTTTCCACACGACCTGATAGATTAGTGGTTAGAGAACATACCAGATGAGCACAAATCCTCTCTTCACTATTGCTATCAGATGAAAGCACAAAAAAGGGAATAAATAAGAGCTAAACATTGAGAAAAGCAATTCTCCAACATTTCAACATCAGTAACACTTTCTTTATGGGTAGGTCATTTCCTAACATGTTCAATAGGAATTTCAATGAAAGAAAGTGTAATTTCATAGTTATCATTTAGATATTAGCACAGTTGACTGTTCTTGGAAAAGTAACTAAAGTTAGGAAGTTGTGTTGAGCATGTTGATGCATTCAATATGCATTCAACACTCAAATACTTTTGCAAACGTTATTCTTTACATTTGCTGAATTATATGCTTCCCTGAAGAACATTTCACATTTCTGCATGTTCTGCACGTTCTGCTGTGCACTGACCCCAATGTCTTTGTTAAGTTATATTACATAGCGAACAAATGACATGTGTGTATTGTTTCCTACCTGGTGGAACAGGGGGCTGTGTGTGATGGGAACACCGAGGGAAGTGAAGCACCGGCCCAGCACCATGTCATCAGGAGCATCGTCACTATAGCAACCACAACCACTGGAAACGAGCCGGGACACCGCAGACCGACTGAGCACCATGCTGCTCACAGAAAAAAACATTTTTTAACAGAGCCCTCAGGATTTGGTAGAGACCAAACCAGCAAAAAGGGTATATACATTTGAATTATGTTTGTCAGAGCAACATTATCATTTATTTTGGAGGCCATTTTAGTCAGTGTGAATAAATAACTTCATATCAACATACAATTAGTCATTTGACCATTCAATAATATAATACATATACAAAGTACATTTAAATATAGCAAATTGTAGTCAAAATGTATGACAAGATTTCAAACCCTACCAGATGTGTCTATTGTTTAATATTAATTTTCCATTTTTGTATTTAATGATATGGTGCACTAAAGAAATACTGATACTTTATTTAATATTTACCAGAATGCAGTCATAATTCAGTTTTGGGACAGTCATACACATACTGTGCTGCTCAATGCAACAGTCATACGCTCAATGCAACAGTCATACACATACTGTGTTGCTCAATGCAACAGTCATATAGTGTTAACGTTTATTCTCCAATTTTGACATAATAACACTTTTCTATTTGTGCAGCTTTCGCACCACTGGCTAAACTGTGGCTGTTCCCTGCAAAACAGCTAAAGCAGATAAAATAAATGAAAACAATTATAAAAGGTGAGAGTTTTGAGTTCAGTCAGAAGCCGAGCTGAACACAAACACCCAGACACACACTCACAGAAACAAGTGTTGACAACCTGCAGCTCCCGTACTTATAAATACGACCCATGGTTCATGGTTAAAATTCGATTCACCTTCTGTCCTTACAACTTAGCATCAACAGCACCCACACTCCCCGCAGCCTCACCCTCCTCCTCCTGTGATGTAGCTGTATCCGCTCTGAAGCAAGCTGTAGCCGTACCTCTCCCCCAGAATCACTACTTCCTTCGGGTCGTAGCAACGCAGCAGTTGCCGCAACCTGGGTAAACTACAGACAGCAAACAGACAGGAAGTGAAGAGCATGCGTGCATATTTCCCAAACACAAGCACACATCATAGAGTCTAGACTGTATGGAGAAACACAAAACAATGTCTTGGCTACATCAACTGTCTATGCTAAGAGACTACAGAGGATTTTTAGGGGATTCAAACCGTTTCTAAAGTTGTGTCTTTAATGCAACAAAACTACTTTGGTTCAAAGCTTTTCTCAAGACTGTGACCATCTCGCTCCCACCTCCAGTTTTGTTGGAAATGTTAGTAAGTTACACATTTATAAATCTAACTGGTTCCTGAAATCACAAATAATTACTATGTCAGCCAGTAAGTGACCTGTGTGTGTGTGTGTGTGTGTGTGTGTGTGTGTGTGTGTGTGTGTGTGTGTGTGTGTGTGTGCGTGTGTGCGTGTGTGCGCGTGCGTGCGTGCGTGCGTGCGTGCATGATCTTAAAATAAATCACTGTCATGTGATATCTAAGGTTATGTTTTCTTCCTTTCGTTGAGAGTTGTAGAATAAAACGAAATATCTTCTCCCAGTTACCTGATCAGTGTGTCGTCATCAACAATGAGAAGCCAATCAGCCTTTGGTACGTCTTTGCTTAAGAACCGCTTCAAGATGGCAAATGTCTTCCCACAATGCCCTGCAGGGAGATGACATACAGATAAAGCAGAGATCTCCAATTCATGTTTGTGGTTCATGAGACCTCATCAGACCCGATTCAAGTATTTTATCCACTGGCTGTTTTAACCCGATAGGTAAACATATTTACTAAAAGGATTCTTTGTTTGTTGATCATTTTAAAATGGTTCTGATTCATAATCATAATCAGGGATATTGAAAAATAAGTTACTTCAAAGGCCAAATCATGTTTGTGAAAATCTGGCAAATAGACAATTCACACTGGTACTGATGATATTAACTTTTACAAAACACAGAACATATTGTATTTTTACACCAAGACAAAATAGCTATGCAAGCAAAATAACCCATTTTCTGAGTGAAGAAGAAAACTTGAGATGTCCCAGATCATAGACAGTAAGTAACATTCAAAAAAGACTAGGTTAAATAATAGAGGAAGCTCAGAGCCATTTCATTGCTTTTGTTCTCCTGAGCATACAGCTAAATGTACAATATATAATTTTCTCAATCCAAATCACAAAAGACTGAGTTAGGGTTGTTTTTAACGGAACATTTTAAAGCAGAAATGTCACATAAATTACCTTAAATCTGTTGCATTAACAAAAAAAGGCATAAAAGAGGTTTGAATATTAGACTAAAGGACGAGGGACTTCACTTAAGGGAATACAATGTTCAAAAATGATGGGGTTGGAAAGTTATAAAAAAATCCTTTTGAAAAACGTTTTGTACAGAGGACTTGACAGATTGTATTTGACTTCCATCAGCCTGTGAACAAGGGAAATATAAGACTGAAGGAGATTTAAACATTTATAGTAATCCTCACTGGGAAGAGGAATGACCTTGCTGTAATGCCAGGATTTATTCAGACTTCTTGTCTGCTTTTTCTGTTTCATAAACTGATTCCTCCGTCAGCGCACTTGAAGTGTGAGAGAGGAGTGTTACAGCTTGAAGGACTTTATATCATTTTAACAAGGATCTCACATTGCAAACAAAAAACACAAAACAAAGGGGGGTGGCAGTGAACTAACTCTCGAACTGTAGCTTGACCTTGACAGTCACCAAACTGCTGGAGCGAACACAGAGTCAACGGCTCTTTGAGGTTGTATTGTGCAAACGAGCTAATATTGAAAACGCTACAATGCTAATGCTGCGTTCACATCACAATGAACCTAGCATCTCTACCATCCATCTCATATATTAAACATAAGCATTAGTTTGTTATCATTTATTAATGTTTATCGTCTTGGTTTAGAATGTTAGCATAATAACACTTATTAGCTCTAAACAGGACATTTCAACACGCCTGCAGGTTTTTTGGCATAAAGCAAAGTATTAGACAACTGACACGATTGACCTCAAGATGGTGCTAGACAAAAAGTCAAAGGATCATAACGACATGATCATCCCGTAAAAACATCCAACTGAAAATGGTTAACTTCTATTTTTAAGCGATGAAAAGTCACACAAAAAAAGAAAAGTTAGATGGTCATAGTTATTAGGAGACATCATCTGGGAACCAATGGATGTCTTTGGAATATTCTGTGCCAATCCATCAAGTAAATGACATTTCACTAAAGAAAGTGGAACCGTTTACCTGCTGCTGGCAACAGAGGAAAAGTCATTCGATTGTATCCCTTATGGCCCAGCATCATCTATTGATCCCCCTCCATTCACACATTTTAAAGCTACCTTTTTAGGTCAGGGGTGTAGTCGTTACAGCCGTCACAAACATCCCCTAACTCTGCAGCTTCCCCCCGAGCTCCTTCTGAGCGATCCTCCGACTGCTGTCAGGACACCTCTGTGATTTAATCTCTCTAAAAGCCATGACACACTCACAGTCCAAGATTGTTCAATATAAGCAAAGAGAAACAGACGTGAGGGAAACAAACAAATGACTCAAGTCTAAAGGGGACACAGGGGTCTAATGTATGATGTTTTCACAACACAATGACCTCCAGGAGATAGTGTTGAGTGAGTGTGAAAATGGTTCGGCAAACGCTGCTTTGATTAAATGTTTGTATCAAAAGAACGACGTGTATATCTACAGGCTGTTATCTGGGATCCCTCACTACCACAGCTGCTTATCTCCTCTCTCACAGGCACAGACGTAACTGATTGTTGGCTTCTGGCTGTAGTCTTTGCGGTGTGTTCAAATGCAACAAATGAAGCTAGTCCCTTGTTGTTGGTGTGGTGTGTTTACACTTCCTAGATCCGCTTACCTCTCTCAGTGTTGGGCACTCCCAGGCTGATCGTGGGTATGGAGGCGTCAGTGACGTCGCTGTAATACTCCAAAAACTCAGCGTCTTTCTCCCAGGTTGCCTTCACCACTGGTACTGTGAGGAGAAATGGAAGAGGGTAAAAAAAGAGGCCAGGTGGAAGAGAGAAAGTAGAGCCTTAAACATTGAATCTGAATCACACATACAGAGTTAATTATGAAAACTATCAAATAACGACAGAAGGGAGTGAGACTGGGGGGAGAGAATTAATAGTGTGTCTTTGAACTAGCATTGTCATTCCCTTCATGTGGATTTGGATAATAATAAGATCTTTAAGAATAACTGCCAGTCGTAGTCACAAAATTAGTTTTATGCTGATTTATTCTCAAATGATTCCACTAACTAATTGTTTGGAGTGCACACTACTGCTTTCCCCTGCAATGCTAATAAGACCTGAATATTAGGTAGCCGGTCGGGAGTTAATCGCTCTGATCTTTCTCCTTTTGAGTTTGTCTGTTGCTTTAAAATATTCAGTCCCTAACTGCTGGCTAATTTCGACCCTAAAAAAAAGAACCCAATGTTTTGGATAATTACACAAACTGTTGCAATTTAAGCAGACCGACTAAACGAGTTGTGAATTTAAATGACCGGCACTCTGTTTAGAGAGTGGCAGTAAACAAAAAAGCGGTGACAAATTAAAGCTGTGAGATAAAACTTGCACAGCTTAATGTCCTGTGATTTACATTTCATTTCTATTTATTCTGTGATAAACGTTAACTAAAAGAGTTCATTTTCGCGATGTCGTAACCTCAGGGGGACAGATCGGCTTGCTAGTGTGCTCATAAAAACATCTACTTTTAAACACCATAAACAAACTATAGTAACATTAAGGATGAGAATATTCAAACAGAATATCAGTGGTGAAGAGAAATCACACATTTACTATACTATGTTAAATACTGAGGTACTCTTTACTACCACTTTCTCTTAAAGGTGGGGTAGGTAAGTTTGAGAAACCGGCTCGAGATACACTTGTTGTTATATTCCATGGAATGCTCTTAACATCCCGATAGCAATGAATATCTTAAGTGCTTTGACAAAAAATCCATAAAAAAATGTCATCTGTGGAAGCCGTAGTACTGTAAAAAGCACAACCAATCATTTTAGCCGGCCCGGCTAAAATAACTGGATGGCCTACCTGCCTGTCAGCCTTCCATCTGTGCACAAACTTATCTCGTGCCCTCATTGGTCATGTGCGCGTTCGTGTGTGTTGGAGGAGGGGCTCTGTAAGGAAGTGGCAGATTTTTTCCGGCTGTGTATTTTCAAATTCTAGCACACTCGAGCTGGTTTCTCCAAAATGACCTACCCCACCTTTAAATCAGCCCTTTCTCTAAGCTTATTAAAAAAACTTAGCCTTTAGCAATATTCAGCTTAATGTAGCCCTCCTGTTGGATTTATTTCATGTATTTGGTTGACTGTCATTGTTCTACTTGTATCTATCTTGTATCTATCTGGTTGGTATTGCCATCTATGTTTTTACTTTGTTTTAATATTTGTTATATATTGTATTGTTCTTTCACCACTGTACAGCATCTTCGGTTAACTGTTGTTGTATTTAAATGTGTTCTATAAACAATATTGAGCAGCACGGGCTCCCCTCAGGGCACGGTCCTCTCTCCCTTCCTGTTCACAATCTACACATCAGACTTCATACACTGCTCACAATCCTGCCATCTGCAGACATTCTCAGATGAGTCTGCCATTGTGGGCTGTATCAGCAGAGATCAGGAAGGAGTACAGGAGTGTGGTGGACAGTTTTGTGGAGTGGTGCAGTCGGAAACACCTGCAGCTCAACGTTACTAAAACGAAGGAGCTAGTGGTGGACTTGAGGAAGCAGAGTACCGCCCCGAGCCCAATTACCATCGTGGGCATGGATGTGGACATTGTGGACAGTTACACATTTCTGGGTGTCCACATAGAGAATAAACTGGACTGGAATAAAAACACTGACGCCCTTTATAAGAAAGGCCAGAGTCGCCTGTATTTCCTCAGGAGACTCAGGTCCTTTAACGTCTGCAGCACTATGTTGCAGATGTTTTATTACTCTGTGGTCTCCAGTGTCATCTTCTTTGCTGTCGTGTGTTGTGGCAGCAGGGTGAAGACAGCTGATGCCATAGGATTCATCAAGCTCATCAGGAGAGCAGGCTCTGTGCTTGGAGTGGACCAGGAGTCGTTGGCAGTGGTGTCGGAGAGGAGAATGCTGAGGAAACTTCTCAACATTCTAGACAACGAGTCTCACCCCCTGCATGCCACACTGGTTTCCTACCGGAGCACTTTCAGCCACAGACTGAGACCACCGAAGACCACCACGGAGCGCCACAGGAGGTCTTTCCTCCCAGTGGCCATCAAACAATATAACTCTTCACCCTTCAGTAAAGGGAACTGAGAACTTTCAATCTGTCAATATAAATATCATTACCATCATTACAAAACACTCGCTGCTATATAACATGTGCAATATTATTATTATTAACAATGTGTAAACAGTTCTTGCCCTTCAAAAAATGTCGGGAATAGGCACACACCTCGCTCTGAGTGGAACTTCTGGCAGGTTTTCACAGCAACAAAAACATCTCTCTTTGACACCGGATCTCCCTAGTAAAAGAAAGAAAGAAAAAACAATGTTACTTTTTATTTAAAAGAATGTGTTTTAGTTATAAAATGCCAAGAGGTGCAAAGGTGAACCCACAAACACAGTGTGAGGTGGAACATACATTGAATGTTATGGACTTAAAATAAGGTCCAGATGGCAAAATCAGGCACACTAGGTCCTAACAGCGCTGTCAGGTATTATCATCGTCTACACCTGTCAATACTTTATTCGTATTCCAGCAAAAGACCAGCAGTAATTGGGATTTTAATTATTTTTCTTGATCTGCGACACTTGCAGAATATTCATTACAAACTTCAGACACTTCCTGATGATGCTTGACAATAATTCCTGTGAGAGGATCATCATCAAATCTAGCGCTAAATTATTAATGTATTCCTTGTGACGGATGGTCTTCAAATGTATGCTCCTTTCACACATTGCCCGATATATGCAGACAGCAGAGTTGATTAATACAAAAGTCATTTATACAGCAAAGTCTTTTATTCATAAATAGCGTGTCATTATCATATAAGAGGACCGTAGCGAGAAAAGAAAGGAAAAAACATATGCAAAATATGTGGAAAACAACAAAAATATACATTATGAGATTGATTATGTGCATGAAAACCAAATCTACAATTACTTATAAGTTATTCTTTTAAGTCATTTTTCTTTGAAGTCGATGTACATGTGAAATGTTCTTTAAAGCAGATTAAAAAAAGTATTGGCCCCACAAATTTCATTTTTGTTTTCTTTAATTCCCAGCTGATGTTGTATTTTGTCATATCATAATCAGAAAAACTAAACAAGCTGAGCAAATTGTGTTTCTACATTTCAGGTGTATACACTTGTCTTGTGTGGGTTGTTTTATTTAACACCTTTTTCTTAATTTTGCTGCAGCGCCCCTTCCTCCCACTCAGCTAGCTGTCTTCTTGATTTCTGTTACGGCCTTCAGACCGGGCTTACTCATCCTGCAGGACCTGATTATTTGTCGGCCTGCATAATAGACTTTGGCAGCAGCGACGTGTGTAATGCACTCAAATTAAGCCGGACAGCTGAGTTATAAATGTGATTCAAGATGGTGGATTAAAAGAAGCAACCCTGAAAGAACACCTTGAAGTCCTCATTATATAACGCTCAGAAAACTCACATGCTAATACAGGCACACTTTTCAAGAACTTAGTGCAAAGGTTTATGAACACCATATTGTAAACGTAATAAAAGTACATACACAGTTGGGAAGGTAGGATGTAAATGTGGTGGCACAGTTGTCTCTCGTCTCTGTACAAAACTCTGGAACTGCCGTCAGCTTTTGACCATTTCCTTCTTCCCAAATATACAAAGCAATCTGAAAATAAAAGAAACAAAATAAAGACAAATGTAGGGCTTATGGGTAATATTTGAAACAGTGATTTGCATTGACGGGTAAGGCAGCTCCTCGAACTGTAAATGACTATCTTTAGTTTCCTGGCAGCTCTCAATGGGTAAGTCATATACACTCATTTAGATAGTGACTTCTTTATTCTGTACAATCATTACCCACAAGTCAATTGACATTTTCAAAAGAGGGCACACAGCTCCAAGTTTATGAATCACACATGAGTAACATTATGAATAAATGTATTCTATTTTAAATTAACACAAATACTAAATTAAAACCTATAATTGCACACAAAAACCACTATTTAAAAAAAGAACAATTTCACATAAACCTCTGGTTTTTACTGTAATTTACATTAATTACAGCAGAGGGAGCTGTCCTAATCAAGTGAAGTGAGGGCTGTAATCTACTTCCACATTAAAAATTACACTTGACCCGTCCCCTGCTCCTCCCCCCCGCAGCCCCGGCTCAGGGGGCAGCGGGGCTGGGGCAGTTCAACTTACCTGATGGGGGGGGGGCGGGGGGGGGGGTTTGCGCCACAGTTTATGGGCGCTGTATGCAATATAGGCTTAGTTCTGTTAAGATAAGATAATAGGATGTACTTTGTTGATCCAAAATCGGGAAATTGTTTTGTTATGAAATGTAAATAAAACATTTATTTTTATTTTTATTTAAATAAAGAATGTCGGCGCCCCCCATGGGTTGATGCGCCCTTAGCATTCGCCTATACTGCCTATGCCAAGGGCCGGCCCTGTACCATAATGTAATTCCAAACTTTCCAAACAACCGGCTAAAAGGTTTTCCCAAGACACACTTTCAAAGTATAATTTTAAAGTGCTCGATGTGAATATTCAATCTCCCTCAACACACATAAATACACATAAATACACATAAGTAGATTCATTCAGAACTAGTCATTTTGCATCAATAATATAATAATAAATATAGCAGAAGCTTCAGGCATAGAAAGCTGCAGGAGCCTTTTCAACAAAGATCTACTTTCTGGGAGAATATGTTCTATGATTTGTATACGTCTTAGCATTTTATCTCAGCAAAAATGCTTAGTGTAAATAAAACATTTATTTTTATTTAAATAAAAAATGTCAGCGCCCCCCCATGGGTTGATGCACCCTTAGCATTCGCCTATACTGCCTATGCCAAGGGCCGGCCCTGTACCATAATGTAATTCCAAACTTTCCAAACAACCGGCTAAAAGGTTTTCCCAAGACACACTTTCAAAGTATAATTTTAAAGTGCTCGATGTGAATATTCAATCTCCCTCAACACACATAAATACAATACACAGTAGATAGTAATTTTGCATCAATAATATAATAATAAATATAGCAGAAGCTTCAGGCATAGAAAGCTGCAGGAGCCTTTTCAACAAAAATCTAATTTCTGGGAGAATATGATTTGTATACGTCGAAGCATTTTATCTCAGCAGGCAGCCTGGAAGATAACACTGGAGCCACTTTTCACAGCAGCTCTCGAGGCGGAAAGTAGCATTTTAAAGAAAAACAGCAGTCTTAATAATAGTTATCCTAGCATAGTGATAAGCAGCAGAAGGCACGCATATTCAGAAATTGGAAGATGATTCAAGGTACCTCGTGTTTCAAGTCGATGGTGAAATCTGACTTCAGACTCTTGTATTGTATCCGCTCAGCGAGTCTGAAACACATTCAAGAGAAAGATGTGAGAGAAGAGAAACAGCAGAATACAAGTGGGAACTTTTCCCAGGCCTGTCACAATATCAGATTTATACAGCACCATTATTCTTGCCAAAATTCAATAAAGAAGCATTATTGCCATTATCTAATGAAAGTTTAAGGAAGAAAACATGAATGGTAATGCTATCAGTCAAAGTCATTTTTGTCTAGTTGGCATTTGTCTCTTTTAAGCCAAAAATAATGAAGTGAAAATAATAATACATTTCATTTATATAGCACACTTTATAAACAACGTCATCTCAAGGTGCTTCACAATGCTATAAGGAGAAAATAGTAAAAGAAATAAAATAAAAAGTGATCTAAGGAGCATATTGAATAAAATATGGTAATATAAAAAAAGGTTAAGAGCCTAAAAAGTTAGGATAACCAAAAAAAAGAAAGAAGAATTGTACAAAAGTCTGATGTAAGACACACACCATCATGTGTATTACGAATATATCCAAATGTATTCCAATTGTGTGTATTTCCTAGTCTCTTGTGATAGTGTGTTATTTAAACAACCTTGAGATTTAAAAAAAAGGAAATAATGAAGAAAAGGAGACAAACATATCAGCAACACATTCATGCACACACACACCTCTGGAGCAGCGGCGTGCTGAGAGCCCAGCCTGCGGCGGGATCCGGATAGCTGAAGGAACCGAGGTCTTCAGAGAACGCATAGTGGTGGATAATGGAGGCTTCGTTGTCATAGAGAGGCTTACCCAAGAACCACTCCTGAGTTACAAAGAGGTGCACGGGAAAAGAGTGATATGAAAGGAAAAGTTGCTCAGTTATTTTCTCATCAGTGCTTGTGCATCAGTGCAGGAAACTACATCACCATATCATCATTCATGTAGCTAAAAGGGCTGTTTAGTACACACAGTAAGTATTGTTAAGAAGATGTTTGCATGTCAGAGTGCATCTCACCTCCTGGACTTGGTATCTGTGGAGGACCTGCAGCAGAGCAGACAGTGTGACGCTGGTTCCTTCCTCAATGAAGAAAAACCAGGATGCTGATTGGCCATAAAAGGCAGAGAGACTGGAAACATCCACACAGAGCCATAAACTTTATGCATTTATTTTATAATCCAGGAATCATTAAAGCTCTCAATGAACGCTTATTGAATCTGATTTGATGAATTTGTTTATCATCCCCATGTGTGTGTTTAACACTCACTGAGGAAGCGCAGGGAGGATACTCCAATCCCCTTCATAGTCTGATAACTCATGGAGAAGAAGAACGACTGGAACTCCCTGCATGGAAAAAAATAATATTTCATTGTTTAATATTTTCATCATCTCAAAGGGCTGGAAAACAGAGTTAACATCGTCAAGGTTAACCTGTCACTTTGAGCACAAAAACACTCCTACATCTTCATCTCTGTATGCAGCCGAGCCATGAGGGTAAACCGTTATTGTTTGTTGAGCACATAAGATAAAAAATAAAGTTGTTGTCTCTTTAAATATTATTAACAATCAAATGACTATTTATTTTAACATATTGAATTTTAATACTGCATTTTATCCGTGTAATTTACCGAAATGTTTTCAAGGATTCAAGGCTTTTATTGTCATGTGTACATAGCTACAGTGTAGTTATGACAATGAAAGTCTTAGGTCGCAGGCTATGCTATTCCCTTAATTCCTGTACACACAAAATGAGTACAATATTTATAAGGTTGTATCAAAGGATCAACCAAGGTTTTTGTGGGATACATAGATATTAAGTAAATGTTGGGTAAATAAATGAAGCCAAATCATGATGATCATGGCCAACACCTATCTAAAAATAAATGCAAAAAGACATTGCATGAGCTTGATTAAAGTGGACCTATCATGCTATATTATAATAATATAGTGTAGGACCATACCTATATAAGGCATATTTATACTTTTTTTTTTTCAAAATACCAAACAGATCATGCATTTTAGCCATGCCTCATTTCACTTTTTTACCCCTGTTTTTGCAAGGGCTGATTCTGTGAGCAACAGCACCACCTACAGGCCTGGCATATGCACTACATCGTCTCCAGCGCTTTCGAACGGCAATGGCCATGGCTGTCTCCTCCTGATTGGTGGAGTTGGCCCAATAGCCGTAGCGCCACCGTCCTGACGTCAGAACAGTGTTCAAATCTGGATCAGTTTTTATCAGATCCGTTGCAGCCCCTTTTTTAGAGATTTGGGTATGGAGGAAAATAGAGAGGGTTGTGTTTTCTGACACTTGGTGAGTTCCCTGGAACACCGGGGACACATATTCATGTATAAAAGACGTACAAAAGTGCATTTTGCATGATAGGTCCCCTTTAAATGAAGGTGTTAAATCCTACTGAAAACATCAATTTGAAACTGTTTTACATCACTGTGTTTCAAGAAGATCTAACATAAAATATACTAATGCCTTTGATAGACATCATTTACCCCAAGATAACCAAAGACAATAAATGTCCTGCTGGAGAATGATTTGAATTGTTTACCACTTGAGGGCAGTGTACACTAATGATCATCTCCTTGCAATATAGGTGTACAATTAAAGCATACATGACAGGAGTGAGAAGAGCACAAATTGGTTTTCAGAGGATTTAACATAAGATCACATTCATTCTCATGAGCGAGAAATCACACAAAGGCTACAAGATTTGGATGAAATTATGAATGATCCACTGTTACTGATGAAACATATCTTGACACGCTGACAGGAGGCGAGGATTCGATCCGGAACATATTGAGTGACAACATCTGCTCATCCATCCTGTGCACTGTTTTTCTAGTTTGGTAACAGACTAAATGAATGAGGGCAGGGGAGTTGATTCAGACGCTGTTTCTTACAACTTCCTCCTCTCTCAGTGACTCATTCAGAAGAACGCACACATCTCACTCTCTCTTTCACGCGCTATTCATAGGACTATGAGGATTAATGTAAGTATAGATAAATATAGATTGGAAATGAAGGTTAGCGTATGATCCTTACTTATCAAGCCCCTAATTTGGTCACATCCATGTTTATTTCAAAGAGCCAAAGAGTGTTTGTCGATGTGTTTTATATAATGTTATGTTATGTAAATACAACATGTAATGCAGAACTCAGTGTCACTCTCACTGTCTCCCTGCAACGCATTTAATTATTCAGAGAGGTGTTTTTGTTCCTTCTGGAAAAAGTAATAAAAACTCTGTCGGTATAGGAAAATATAATTCCACAGCACTGAAACACCTCAGGCTTTAAGATGATGAATTGTATTATTATATCCAGGGCTGCACACACCCCCCGCCAAATAAGGAGCACCGGATCATTTGAAAAAAGCGCATTTGCGCACCAACATTGAGAGAGAGAGAGAGAGAGAGAGAGAGAGAGAGAGAGAGAGAGAGAGAGAGAGAGAGAGAGAGAGAGAGAGAGAGAGAGAGAGAGAGAGAGAGAGAGAGAGAGAGAGAGAGGTCTGCTTTATGCGCACCGCACAGTAACCCTGCTGCGAGGCACGGGCGAACAGTTCATGAGCGTGCTCACTAGCGCCCCCCCCCCCCCCCCCCCCCGTTCATAAAGTCAAGTACCCCTCAAAAGGTCCGGTTTATTTCATTTTAAGGATGCGCACCAAGCAACATCTCCAGGTGCTCCTTTGAGAACCAGGGCAAAACAGTTTTGTGCACCCCTGATTATATCAACAATTCACTAAAACATTTTCAGCAAAAAGTGCATATCATTAATCTTCATTAGGGAAGGATTTCTTTGCCTTTTGAATTAGACTTCAGTAGCCTAAGCTAGGAGAAATGAATAAATAATCGTGAAATTAGTGACACTATGGAAGAAATAATCAATTTTTCAATTCTTAAAGCCATATTAGGAATAAAAACTATTTATTATATACATTTTTGGAGGACTCGTATGTCTATGTAAAGATAAGGCTAAGATTAAATACCATAACATACTTGATAACATCATGAGTCTGATCAAATAAATTTATTTTAGTTTCTGGCGTGACAAAACGTTTTGGTAATTTTACTTCCACAGTTAAGTGCACAATTTCCCACAAAGGAAAGATTGTATTCACTGAAAAGTAAAGTAGCTTTAGGGCTTCCCACAGATATTCACACATTGAGCGTTTTCATGCAACCACACCACTTCAGATGCTGAGAGTGTCAAATATGGTTATTAACATCTGCTGTAAGAGTGGTGAGATGTGAGCGAAGAGAGCTGAGAGAGCAGCTGCCAAATGACGAGACTCTGTAATGGAGCTGGATGATGAGGCTGAGAAGGCTGATTTAAAAGCCTGCAGTTACAGCCAACAAATAAAGAGCCAAATGTGAGACGTTTATAAGTGTCTGTCTCTTCCTTTGAATAATATGCCAGGAAAGATGTGAATATAAATAGGTGTTAGAAATTACACTAACATTACAATTGAGATGTAGCTGTTAAAATGTTGGTGGCATCATGACCATAGCTGTGCAAATATAGATTACTCTATAGCTAAACAATTTAAGTGTTGTGAAATAAACAATAAACCAGCCATATGTCCCACAGACGATAAGCTGTCTGTATGCAAGTCAGACAGGAAGCTGAGTTAATGTGTGTTTGCCACCTTTAATCACCTGGTTATACATTGAAACCGTGACGCACATTAGTAAAAAAAACGTGACGCAAAACCTAGCTTCTTGAGAAACATTTTGCTACAATCAAGATCTGTGATCAACATAAAATCTAGATAAAGCTCTCAGTCATTTTCCTCACTTTGACAAATCACCACGTCCTCTGAAGCACACATGCTGAGATGATTGAACACTTATCAATATGAAACCTTTCTCTGATCAGCACTTTCAGGACCTGCAGTCAGCGGTGGTTTGTCGGGGTCTCAGGCTAAGATTCCCAGGGTGGACCTATTGCTTATTTTGTTTTTAAGTTTCAAGTCTGTTTTACTCTTAATATGCATGTAAACGTGACGTTAATATCTGAAAAACCACAAACACTTAACTACATTGCTACACATTTTAGGGTTTTAGTAAGGTAACTACTTTAGCACATATTTCAATCATATTATTATTTGTTTTTTTATTGTCTTATTTTATGTTATTGATTCTGATGTTTTCTTTAGAATGGCTGTTTATTTATTAAATGCGTATTGTGCAATCCTTATCTTAATGATCCAACTTTCTATTATTTGTTTGTAATTACTGGGCCATTTAATTTGTGTATTATTTTTCACAGTTTTTATCCATAATTCTCTTTTTTCCTCTTTCTTTTTTCTCCTCTTTCTTTTTTCATTTTCAGGCTTCAGCCGCTTCATTGACTTTTAATTCAAACTTTAACAAAGTTACGAGAATCATGCAAGTTCACCAGGAATGACCTGGGGCCCCTTTAGGGGGGTTTCCTACTGAGATGTCATTGCAAATCGTGCATTGGTCGTTTAAAGAGAAGGAACTGGTTGCAGTCAAATGATGAGACCTGGCTGTGGTTTAAAGTTTTTTTATCATTATGACAAAATGGGGTCCTTGAGACATTTACTAATGGTATAGCGTCACAACAGTGCAAGATGCAGACCACAAATATTATACATATATAACACAATTTTGTTTACATTTTAATATACAAGCCACTAGTTACATTAATGGTTTCTCTTGGATTTTGTGGAAATCTCTTTTAATTCATACATAAAACTTCCCTTTTCATACCTGTTATTCTTTTCCAAAGTTATGTTTAAGAGACATTGAAGTCAAGACTTTCTTAATCCAAAAATAACCTTTGCATCAGAAAGATCAATATTTAATTAGCTAAAATACATTTTGATTAAATAAATTCATCATGTTTACAGAAGTAATAATGATCTTAGAAACTACATCGAGATGTAACCCCTAAATGATTGATGCTCTAAAGATACTTAAAATCTAATTTATTTTTGATTGAACTGAATTAATGATCATATCGCAATTACCTCAAGACTGCAGAGGTGGTGCAAGTTTTTTTCTGAGTGTCTGTAGACTTCCTTTCAGACTGCATAGAACCAGACTACATCAAATTAAAATAATTTATTGAGCCATTTTCTTTACATTAAGTATACTGATTAATTGCTCTTCACAGCTCTCATGCCCTTAACAATCATTTAACAAGCCATTGATGATAAATTGGAATTAATTGCCAGGTAGCTCACTCATTTTATAACCATTGAGCCACACTGATGTTTGTCGACATTCTCACTAACTGCATTATCTTTCTGTCTCTCAGATGGAAATTGGTGCGGTCACCCCTCAAACCATAACCAAAACCAGAATGTGGCTTCAAAACAAAACAAACCGAGATTTCAAATGTATTCAGTGCTCCCACTCTGTCGCTGCTGAATCACTCATTGATGCATATGTGATTTAAAAATGTTTCCAGCTGCCGCACCACATTTTGTGTGTGATTGCAGACACATCAGGTCTCCTCACTTAACACAGGAGAGGGACTCGGAGAAAACAACATGTGAGATGGTTAAAATCATCAGTAGATTTCTCAACCCTGGGATATTTTTGTTTCTTTCTATGTAAGAATCTTTCAACGGAGCCCCTGCTGACTACCTTCTGCCATTATTACAATGATTTTCTGGATTGAACAAGAGTTTGGAGGAAGAATACAAAAAACAGTATCAATGTGTTTTTGCTTCAAAGGAAAATCAACAGCTTCTCACTGCAGGCTCCCATGTCCATATTTCTGTTGTCTCATCTCTCCCTTTTCCTCTGAGCTCAGGGAGGGGAACACTACAGCAAGGAGGACACCTATCGGTAGCCGTGTAATAAGACAGCTATGCAAACTCCCACTCCAAAAATCAGTGACACACAGTAAAAGCATTGTTTCTGCAGCATTGTTATCCTGTCTGCTGTTAAGAATAAACTCAACCTTCTTGAGTCCTTAACGGCAATAACAATATTTATTGTTCTTAACCATTACTGCTGGTAATAAATGTGCCTCAAGCAATAGGATAACTAATTAATGTAGTTTATATTAAAAATCCCCATTAAAGCATATAACATTTTTTATGTTGTAGCCCATTTACTACTAATAATGTTTACTTTACATATCTGCTGCTAACCATGTTTCATATGAGACTGTACAGTTGCCTTGACTGAATAAATAATAACTAAATAATAAATAAATATATTTTATATTGATAATCATACATAAAGTTATAATTTTAAAAGGGAAAATTCACCTTCATGAATGGTTGGATGGAAAATCCAGGGAATCCATCCAATACCTAAATTACATATTTAAATGTCAACTTCATGGTGGCTCGAGTTGAAAAGTCACCATCATTAGTAGGTTTTACCCTCTGGGTCTGCACACAATGTCCTGTTGGTATATCCAAACATTTCTTAAGATAGTCTTAAACTAAATATTATCTCTTTATAATTTTGTATTATAAAAGATATGGTGTAAAATTGTCATAATTAGCATATGTATTCAAGAGTTATGACCAACATTGTATTGTGAGAGTTCATAGTAATTCTAATGAGGTCATCCTTGAGTCCAATAAGATTAAAGCAGTTTTCTTCCAGGCTCTCTTTAAATATCATGTTTATTAGAATGGGAAAGATGAATAACCTGAACACATTTGGCCAGTTAGTCGGCATAATTACATAAACAAACCTATGCATTGTGAAAAATGTATTAGATTATTAAAACATAACTCTATTTTAAAGGTTACAGTACCCCTCTTATTATCATAGTATCTTGAGTTCTAAATCTTGATGACAGATGGGTCACACATGAGGACACATGTGTGGACACATAAGACCAGAGCTAAGATCTAAACCAGGGGTGTCCAAACTACAGCCCGGGGGACAAATGCAGCCCGCAGGCCATTTTGAATTGGCCCTCAGCTAATTCAAAAAGTATAATGATATATGGCCCACAAATGAAACTTTTGCTTGTCTTGTATTGTACTTCTTAAATATATATGTAAACATATATTACATATTAGTATTCATGTGTTAATAAGCCCACTTTCAAATGAATTCCATCAAATTTAAGTTTAATAACTTATTTCCATAACCAGCTCGAAATATACCCTTCATATTTCCTCTTATTATGAGCTTATTATGAGGCTTCTATTTTAAGGAATTAGCTGAAAACACAATAAATTAAACCCTCGGGAGAGCTGTGACGTTGGCTGTTTTTTCTTAAAGCATTTACCTACATTTGATTTATTTTGCTAACTTATAACTCAACTTATGAGGCAATATACCTCTAGTGAGTGGCCCAGCCCTTCGTATGTTTTTCTATATGTGGCCCTCGGAGAAAAAAGTTTGGATACCCCTGATCTAAACCCAGCAAAAGGTGTTAACCGACTGCCTGCCAGATGTTACCTGTCCCAGCTCAGCGGCCTGCTGCAGAATCTCCACCTTCCTCTGAGCAGCGTGACGGGCGTGGAAGGTGTTCCTCTGACTCTGGATCAGTAGCACCACCTCCTCCAAACCTGAGAGAACATGGACACACAAGTTAAGAGAGGTGACAAAAAAGGAAAGGCAAAGAGACAAAATAAAATGTGTGACATACACTTTGACAGTGTGTGTTCTTGACAGGAAAACCTCAAAGTGATGACATAAATTCACGAGACAAAAGAAAATGTGTGAAATACACTTCGACAGTGTGTCTTCTTGACAGGAAAACCTCAAAGTGATGACATCAATTCACAAAGTCATTGTTCCCGGCAAAGATAACCACTCTCGAAACTACGACTTGTTATTTCTACATACCAATTTTGGTATGCATTAGACAAACAGAATACAACAATAGTTAGCTAAATACCTTTGGAGGTGCTAACAGGTGGTTTGTGTTGATGTTGGACGGTTCCAAGTAAGCCTCTATTTTCAGTATATATACTAAATGAAGCCAGTTGGCCATAGCTTTATATTTAGGGTACAAACATGAGTCCAATCAAACTTTTCATATAACTATAAGCAAGAAAGCAAATAAGTGTATTTAACTAGTCCTTCCTTTAATTCAATCCACAACCTCAAAGATGTTGGTGTCTGGGTTGAGCTTTTCATTCACATGCTCTCGATGAAATCATTATCATGCATCGAATAATGGATTTGCTTTCCTAAACTTTGTCATCTATGAACAAAACATCAGACCATCTGTGGTGAAATCCCTCACTCACCAGCAGGGCCGTGTGCAGTGTGCTCCTGATGCTCTGCTGCCTGCGGGGATCAGAGGGATCTGGTTTAGTCTGACACACACTGCTGAGCCACACGATGAAGCATTATCACAGCCAGAATCTGGGCAACACTTACATGAGCACGACCTGCGTGTTTGTCCCCAGCAGAGGAACCTTTAGAGTATGAAAGAAGAGGCAACATTTAGTCATCAAAATGCATTAATTATATGTAATGACATGAGCAGCCAGTTATTCTTTAAATTGATTTACAGGGGATATCGGAAAACACATTTACAGCAGATGTCATATTGCATTCAGAAATATTTGCCTGTTTATACATTTTTAATTTTTGGAAAATATCTTTGGGTTTTGGACTGAATATGTGATATTGAGCTCTGAGATCTTGGCACTGAGTCTAAAAACTAGCCTAATAAACACTTTAACCAATAATGTAAATAATTGTTAGTTGTTGCTACATTTTAAGCACATGTTATGTCATTATAGTTCTATCTCTAGCTTGGTCTTTATAAATGAAAACAGGAACCACTTTCACAACACTTTAAAGTCTTGACACATCTGTAATAGTGCGACAGCCCCAGCAGCAGACGTAACAGCAGCAGTAGTAATAGTTATTACTGCACCAACATCTCTTCGATATATTAACAAGATAAAAAATTAGACTTTGTGTCCATGACTCAAAACAAACTTTGAAACCAGGACAGATAGTTGCAGAGCTCAGTGTGTAGGCTTTGTGGGTGTGCCATACTTGACTTGAGAGTCACCGGTATACTAGTGAATAATCATGTCAATCTACGCTAGAGGCAGAGATATGACGGGAAGTCAATGTGCATTTGTGCTATTATTAGTGGTGTGCAAAGCCCATTTAGTTATTTTCCTGACTCAGACATTAAAAAAAATACTTAAGTTTTCATACATGGTAACCCTAACCCTAACCCTAAAAAAAGAAAAACATAACATTTCTCCACAACCACAAAATGCTTCTGAATGCTGTAATATTGAGCTGAGAAATAGGTCATGGTGAACCAAGATGTGAGCTATGAGGTGACTCATGCAGGTGCAGGTCTCTATGGGACTGTCTGATCTAATGCATTTTCATTAAACATGAATCTATATGTGTACCACCCGGGGCAAAATAAGCCAGCAGGTGCCTGCTGTGAATGCATAAAGGAAGAATACAAATAAGTATATTGCAGAGGTAAACTTCATTATGACAATCACTGTTGGCATTATGGGAAATACATATTAAATACATTACCACCCATAATCAATCTAAAGGCTCCCTTTCACTGCAGACATGTTGGCATGTTATGGTAAGGATGTCTGGTATGGGAAAAGCTCTCTTTAATAACATGAATGCTACGGTGTTAAGGAAATAGAAGTAAGAATGTATCATCATTGAGGTAATATATTACACCTGCGGCGCTATTCCTGCTATCATTAATAAAGGGAAAAGTGTCAATAGCAATAAAATGAAAGACCATGAAAACATTTCTATAATATCTTGTGCATTTCTGGAAAATTCTTAAATTACAGGTCTTAAACACGTTTGGCTTTCCAGTTGTCTTTTGAAGGTAATGCACACTCATGGCATGTCACAGAAGTTTTCACTCAATTTACCTGTCTCTTTTGGCCTGTATTAAACTGTATTTAACCAACATTTCCATCACCCTTCTTTTGGATTTGTTAATCCTGTTAGTTTAGGACAGCTAACAACTTAATGGACACTTTTCACGGGAGACATTTTAAATGGACCTATAAGGAAAAGCCCAGGTGGAATTGATCACTTTAACCTCTTTTACCTGAGCAGAGGCCTCACTGGCCAGAGGAGTCACTGTGTGTGCAGGTCTTGCTGATGTGTGCTGTTCATTATTTACTAATAAGATGTGGCAATTGGACCACGGGGTTATAGACAATGTCAATTTCACTACAAACTAAATCAGCATGGTTTGTAACTTCATTAAACAATCATCTTTATTCTTCCCATGCAAGCTTCTGTGTGATTCTATCAGTGCATACTCTTCCTAGAGACATATTTATCATATATTTGATTACCTTGAAATTAATAACTGTTCTTTAAATCGTCTTGTTTACAAACCCCATGGGAGCACCTGCATTTAATTGAGTGGTGCGTCAAGCTATGCACTATATAACCTCCCCAGGGACAGTTTACAATTTCAAATTAAAAGAAAATAGACAATATTTTGTAGCAAAACAGATGCCAGGGTTTCACTGGAGAATAACTTAAGTCTGTAATTAAAAGTGAAATACATCCAGTTTAACATTTTTAAACAACAATGCACTTTTCGCCCTGTTAAATTACATACATAGTTTTACTTTGAAGTACACATCGAACTAACTTCCGGTATTTGTATCATGCATAGTGCTAGCAGTTTAGCTTACACCATAGCTATCTCTACAGGGCATTGACCCCACTTACCAAGCCAAAGAAGAAGCACCGCGACCAGTTTGCATCCGTCCACCACATAATGATGAGACATGGCTTCTGTGGTTGCTGTTCTTTGTTTTATATCACCGTGTTTTCTTGGCGAACTGGAAACACTGGTTAGCTACATTCCTGTACAGGCAGAGCTGGGCTGCAGTGACTGTTGGAGCAGAGTTGCAGCGACCTCTAGTGGTCACTGGTATGTTATGTTATGACACACTGGCATAGTAGTAAACCACAATGTTGCTTCCTTCTCACTTTCAGTGGTGGTGGTCAAAGTCAGAGGTGGGAGAAGTACTCAGATCTTGTACTTAAGTACAAAAAATGAGAACTACCAGAGTGAAGGAATATTCAGTTACAAATAAAAGTCCTGCATTCAAAATGTTACTTAACCCTTGTGCCCTCCTCGGGCATTTTTGTACATTTTTCCTGACTTTTTTTTTTTTATTTGGTGTTCATTTCAGCTGTGTTACAGCTTTTGGCATGGATTTTTGCAAGAAGTCTTCTTTTGAGTCAAATTTTTTAAATCCAATGTCGTTTACTCTTACATGTTTTGTATACTCTCGTGATGCATTTTGCACCCTCTGGACCCCTTTGTGGCAAAAATGTACACGCTCATAGAAACTGCTATTAAATCATCATACATCAATATTTTATTAAACTTTTTTTTCCATGAATCACTTGAACAACTTCTAACGTGCTCAAAACTACCAAACATCCAATAATTCTCAGGATTTTAACCCTTTAAATGCCTGTTTCATTATTTGAATTATTTAATTTCTCTTAAAAAAAAACACAAAAAATGAATTTCTTTCAATATAATAATTAGTAGAGGGATGGAACTTTGGTGGTTATTAGAGTCTTGGATGTGTCAAAGATTAGCAACACAATTGATTTGACTGCATTATTAATTTTTACGTAGTGTCAGATACTACCTCTGGACACCTTCGTGGCAAAAATGTACACGCCCAAAACAACTGCTATTAAATCATCATACATCAATATCTTTTTCTACTTTTTTTTCATGAATCACATATACAACTTCTCACGTACTCCAAACTACCAAACATTCAATCATTGGCAGGATTTTAACCCATTAAATGCCTGTTAAATTATTTTAATTATTTCATTTTTCTAAATAATGCCTCATTGACTTCCATTCAGACCACATTTGTTGATCTCACTGCCATTGCAGTATAAAACCATGCATTTTGTAATGTCAGCATTTCATTTAGAAGAAAAGTAGTGATATTTGATATTTCTACTCTATTCCAACAGATTACACAAGTTTCCGTGTAGGCCGATGCATTACATTCTTACATTTTTGCCAGTTATATTATGGAGCCGTGTGACTACCAGGGGGCCCCGAGAGTGGTGTGTGTGTGTGTGTGTATGTATGTATATGTATGTGTGTGTGTGTGCGTGTGTGTGTGTGTATATGTATGTGCGTGTGTGTGTGTATATGTGCGTGTGTGTGTGTGTGTGTGTGTGTGTGTGTGTGTCATTTCCAGCAGCAGACTAGCAGGTCCTGCAGCATGTGACCTGGTGCTCTCAGGTGATAGAACAACATTTTTTTAGGCCTGTGCACAACCAGCACACACCTCTCCTCCCTCTCCGTGTGTGTGTGTGTGAGAATCGTAAGCATGCACAGATCATTTCATGGGAACAAAAGGCCATCTTTTGAGGGATGTGTTTGATGTGTCTTTGAAGAGCTGCTTGATTACTCAAAAACAAAAAACAACTGTTGGTGTGTTTCTGCACCTGGCTGCCAAAGATAAAAATGCAGTTTGACCAAGGGCTTATTTCATTAGTGAGCAGAGAAGGAGAAAGACCTGGAGCAAAGAGAAGGAACTCAAATGAAGAAGCTTTTCAGTGCAGAAGAGACTTCAGAAATAATCTTGCAGCCTTCTTCTGCCAGCGAGCTGCAAGACTCATCTGAAGAAGACACAAGGTTCGAGCTGGGGTCTGACACTGAATGCTCTCTGGAGTCCAGCATTTCTTTGAGTTCCTCTGACCCTTCATCTGAAAGTGGAGAGGACACTGAGGGTCCGGCCCACCATCCACCACCACGGGGGGCTTTCTTCTCACAATCTGTGAGGACACCCTGGTTTTCCCCAGCTCCTGGGAGAACGACCTCCGTTCTTCTCTGTCCCCTCACTGTGGGTCGGACCCTCAGTGTCCTCTCCACTTTCAGATGAAGGGTCAGAGGAACTCAAAGAAATGCTGGACTCCAGAGAGCATTCAGTGTCAGACCCCAGCTCGAACCTTGTGTCTTCTTCAGATGAGTCCTGCAGCTCGCTTGCAGAAGAAGGCTGCAAGATTATTTCTGAAGTCTCTTCTGCACTGAAAAGCTTCTTCATTTGAGTTCCTTCTCTTTGCTCCAGGTCTTTCTCCTTCTCTGCTCACTAATGAAATAAGCCCTTGGTCAAACTGCATGTTTATCTTTGGCAGCCAGGTGCACAAACACACTAACAGTTGTTTTTTGTTTTTGAGTAATCAAGCAGCTCTTCAAAGACACATCAAACACATCCCTCAAAAGATGGCCTTTTGTTCCCATGAAATGATCTGTGCATGCTTACAGATTCTCACACACACACGGAGAGGGAGGAGAGGTGTGTGCTGGTTGTGCACAGGCCTAAAAAAATGTTGTTCTATCACCTGAGAGCACCAGGTCACATGCTGCAGGACCTGCTAGTCTGCTGCTGGAAATGACACACACACACACACACACACACACGCACATATACACACACACACACACACGCACACGCACACGCATACATATACATACACACACACACACACACACACCACTCTCGGGGCCCCCTGGTAGTCACACGGCTCCATAATATAACTGGCAAAAATGTGAGAATGTAATGCATCGGCCTACAGTGGGAAAATGGTTTAATCTGTTGGAATAGAGTAGAAATATCAAATATCACTACTTTTCTTCTAAATGAAATGCTGACATTACAAAATGCATGGTTTTATACTGCAATGGCAATGAGATCAACAAATGTGGTCTGAATGGAAGTCAATGAGGCATTTTTGAGATAAATGAAATAATGAAAATAATTAAACAGGCGTTTAAAGGGTTAAAATCGAAACCGAAAATAGTAGTTTTGAGTACGTTAGAAGTTGTTTATGTGATTCATGAAAAAAAAGTAGAAAAAGATATTGATGTATGATGATTTAATAGAAGTTATTATGGGCGTGTACATTTTTGCCACGAAGGTGTCCAGAGGTAGTATCTGACACTACGTACAAAATAATAATGCAGTGAAATCAATTTTGTTGCTAATCTTTGACACATCCAAGACTCTAGTAACCACCAAAGTTCCATCCCTCTACTAATTATTATATTGAAAAATAATTATGTTTTGTGTTTTTTCGTAAGAAAAAATGAAATAATTCAAATAATTAAACAGGCATTTAAAGGGTTAAAATCCTGCCAATGATTGAATGTTTGGTAGTTTTGAATACGTTAGAAGTTGTTTATGTGATTCATGAAACAAAAAGTAGAAAAAGATATTGATGTATGATGATTTAATAGAAGTTATTATGGGCGTGTACATTTTTGCCACGAAGGTGTCCAGAGGTAGTATCTGATACTACGTAAAAAATAATAATGCAGTCAAATCAATTGTGTTGCTAATCTTTGACACATCCCAGACTCTAATAACCACCAAAGTTCCATCCCTCTACTAATTATTATATTGAAAGAAATTCATTTTTTGTGTTTTTTTGTAATAAATAATGAAATAATTCAAATAATTAAACAGGCATTTAAAGGGTTAAAATCCAGAAAAGTATTGAATGTTTGCTAGTTCTGAGTATGTTATAAGTTGTTTATGTGATTCATGAAACAAAAAGTAGAAAGAAATGTTGATGTATGATGATTTAGTAGCAGTTATTATGGGCGTGTACATTTTTGCCACGAAGGGGTCGAAAGGTTGAAAATTCGAGGAGGGCACAAGGGTTAAGTAAAAGTACAAAAGTATAAGCATCACAATATATGTATAGTACCAAAAGTACTCAGACATTTAACTAAACTAAAAGAAGAGCATCAATATCACGTTGTTTTTTGGACAACTATACAAACTATACTCCTGGGAGACGGATCCCTCCTCTGTTGCTCTTCCCTGGGTTTTATAACATTTTTACAGATTAATTGTGGGGTTTCTTTGGTAGTTTTTCTTTTAGCGCTGCAACTCTAAGGATAGAGGGTATTGTATGCTTTACACACTGTAAAGCCCCCTGAGTCAAATGTGTAATTTGTGATAGTGTGATTGATTGATTGAGTCATTGTAATACCAAATAAATTCCAAGTCTTACATTTTTACAACAGTGCTTGAGAGAATGTAGCCCACTTATTTATGTTCAACTTCTGGTAATACTGATATAATTAGCCCTAGTTTTGCTAACAGACTTATTTGCTACATTAGAGGTATTCAAAAGCTAGACTGATTTTACTAACAAAATATGATGGCTGAAAAATATATACTAAACTATTTTTTTTTTCAAAACCATTTTTCCTCCTGGTCTCTTGCGCCCCTGTCATGCCTCTGCGCCCCCCACTTTGAGAAACACTGTACTAACCAAACAGTATATGTTCCTCCTCAATGCTGCAGATCAGCCAAAGCTGCACTGACTCTTATCTCTGAGAGCAGCTTTTTCACTTTTGGACTCAGTATGCTACACAATCAACAGACAATAAACAACTAGAGATATACTAGAATTTATGAGTTTTTACACAAGCTGATTGTAAGGATTTTGAAGCCTTGTTCCCAGTATAGCAAACGTTGTCTAGTGTAATTTATATTATAAATAGATGTTCAGAAAGAAGGCTGAAAGCATGATTTCTGTTGTTGTCCATGCAGACTGTTAGACATACAGAACAAATGAGTCAACAATATCCTGGCCACTGAGTCTAAACATGGACTTCTTGCCCACACAAATTAAATAGTCTGTCTCCGTGAAACCACAGCTGTGGGTGTTCACATTTTTGTGTGAATAAAGCGAACTCTACGGAAAGAAATCCAAATGGGATTTATGTTTCCTACAAGCTTGAAGAACAAGGAAATAAGGTCAGAGCTTTACTAGCTTTATGGATCTGTTTTGGACTCTTATCGGGTGAGTGTTTAGGGGAGACAGCTAAAGTAAATACTCGAAGACTTACTCATGAGCACTGACCAAACATTGCTTATGAATAAAAACGCCAACAGGACGAGAATCTGTTGATACACAAACACCCACACACAAAGACACACACATAGCCTACACACATGCAGAATATTAATGTCATCGTACCACAAAGGCTGGCAGGTCACTCAATATGTTTTTCATTACTGTACTTTTCCT